GGGCTGGCGGGGGGCGCCCCGCACCCCGAGGCAGGTGGAAGAAGGGGTGTGGGCGCGTTCTAACCAAAGAAGTCTGACGGAGCCAGTCGTCCCACCGACAGGTTTATTTTATAGGCAGGTTACTCGATTAAAAACACATTTTGGCAATGTTTTTTACAGTGAACAATTTTATATATATATATATATATACACACACATTATAAACACTGTTTGATATAAAACACTGTATCTACAATCTACTTACATTTAATTAACCTGCTCCTTCTTCTAGTTCACTGGGCTTAATTTTAGTCCCCAGTGAGTCAGTTTCTCTCCTTGAATTGGAAAGTACTATCTTTAACACCTTAGAAAAGCAGGTGCTAAGGGATAGTGCAAAACAAGCCTTTAAGATTATCGGCTCTGTCTAACAAAAGGCACACCACACACCCCAGAGACAAGAGCTCTGAGCTGCTTTTGGATTTAAGGCAGCGGGGTAAGGATGTCATGTAAGAGGAAAGAATGTTTCCTTTTGAAGGCTGCCTGAAATGTGGGCCCCTTTCCGAGGCACACCTCTGGATTTAAGGTACCCTTTGGTTTTCCATTAAGTGGGATGAAGATAGAAATTACAGAAAAGTTATTCAAGAAGATCCGTTAAAATCTTTAAAGTCATAACTTAAAATTTTAACCAAAAACTTCAAAATTACTTTTCATAAATAGGAGGGGGGAAAATGGTTTCTTAAAAAGGGGGTAAAGGTAATCAGTGAAAAGTCCCCTTATCGTACAATCTAAAATCAATATACAAACTGTTTAAGTAAAAAATTAAGGTTTAAGTGTGAGTCGGTTATTTAGCCAGTGCACCAAATATTTCAGGTTTCCAGAACACCAGAAAACTGGTTCCCTTTCTCATAGAGTTTTCCAGTTGTCTTAGAGATTTTCTGTTGCAAACATCATTCCCAAGTCCAGTTTTCAGAATGTGCCAATGTCAGTGAGCATTAAAATAGCCTTTATCACCCTCAATGTCCACTTCCTGATCGGAATCCTCGGAAATCTCTGATTCAAGGTCTTCCTGGGAGGCAGGGGAAGGTGAACACTGAGAGCTATCCAAAGCACCTTTATTCTGTTCAGTGGGCAGGTCTTGCCTCTGATCACAGGGATGGTCCAAACTTTCCACGTCGTCTTTTTTACTGCTTTGAGGGTTTTCCTGAATGAGGAGGGTGAAAATGGAGGGTGGCAGATCATGAAATATGGAAGAAGTGGGACATAAATCAAAGCGTCTTTTCACCCTCTATCATTTTTTAACTTTTAGTTCACCAATTGCTTTCCACTATGCTCTTTACATATATAATACATACTTTTTCTCACTCTGGAAGAAGTTCTTTTCATATCAGAGAAAGATTATACTCTTGCCAAATAAGAACAACCAATCACAAATATATCTGTAAATGTATTATGTCAAATGAACACTAATTCCAGCCCAAACCCACGATCTGAAGATTCATAGAAGTTTAGAGGGAAAAAGAAATCAGATCATTGCAGATACACACGATCAGCATTCTTCGAATAGTTAAACCCTGCCGATTAACAGGGCCTTCTAGACATTTTTAAAAATGAATGCTAAATAGTGATTAAAGATAAAAGTTTCCAAATTATTAGACTGACTCCTTTTCATCCACTTTCTGGAGCATATTTATAAACATACATAAATATGTGCAACAGGTTACAAAATCATGGCAAATAAATAAATGAAGAACTGGAAGAATGTTGCCAACTGAAAAGGGAAACAACTACAACTTAAAATCTGAAGGAAATTTCTGGAAAATATTCCCATATTACACAGGTATCTCTATTTTAAAAGTCCCTGGTAAACTGCAGTCACACTTCTGACCAGGAACTAAATGAGTTAATAAATATTTAATCCTATGTTTGTCTAAAATGGACATAAACACTATATGGAAATATTATAAGGTGGTGGGTTTTTTTTAAAGCAAGATTACAGAATAGTAGATTCACCAGGCTTGCATGTATGTAATAAATATACGCACAAGGTCAGAAATTGAGAGGGAACCTGAAAATGTTTACATCATGTTAGAATAATGAAATTATGGGAATTTTATTTCCTACTTCAAAATGTTCTTTGTGACACTATCTTGCTTTTAATGAAAAAGTTTTATAATCACTGTATTTAAAAATGCACACTGCTTTCAATTTCCCCACTCGTACTATTGTTTCAAAAATATTTTTACAATAAACTATACATATACAGGCACAGGAACAATTCATCAATTTTCAGATTATTTTGGAAAAGACATCCAGATTAGGACATCATAAACAAATCTTTAGCCTTAAGTTAATAGAGCTCCTTTAAAAACTGAATTAGTTTTTACTCTTTATCACATATTGCGTAACAAGGTCATTGGAAGAAAGACTGTTAGAAAGTTTAAGCTACTTCCCAAACAGGCTTGGATAGTCTCTTACATGTTTTTATATTCATTTTAAGAGCTGGCATTAGATGGGAAATAATTTTTAAACTCTTTGATATTTAATTCTTCTAAAAAAACAGTGCAAACAAGACTTAAAGGTGTTTATTTCCTTATATTTACCCTTGAGCTCTGCCTGGTTTTATTATGGCTGTGTAAATAAAAGAAACAATTTTCTCCCAAAGATAACTGCTTAAGTCATTTACTGTCAATTACTTTATCTTTCCTGCGTTAATTAGATAAACAACATATGGGGTTTATAAAACAATTAGCCAGGAGTTTTACTAGCCAGTGTGTGAAAACCCCAGCATAATTGATATAGGAACTGCATTAGGTGCTTTTAGCATTACTGCCACCTGAGCAACTCATCCTGAATTTCAGCAAGACTATTTGCCTTTTTAATCAAGGTGAAGAGGTTAAATAGTCTCTCAAATGACTTTTGCATACAACCTATAACAGGCCTCGCATTGAGATAACCTGATAAAAATATTTATTTCCATAGAAACAGAACCATGTCCCTACCTGTTTTAGTCTTCGCCATTTAGCACGTCGATTCTGAAACCAGGTTTTGACCTACAGGAAAAAGAGAAAAAGCTTGCCACCAGCCCAGAATCCCGAGGGGCCGGTGGGGAGGAGGCAGACTGCGGGCTGCAGAGCAGACCAGCGCATCAGAAGTTGGGCAGCAAGGCTGACAAGCAACAGCGCAGGCTGGCCGCGCATCTCTCCACTGCCCCTCCACCCTGGCCCCAGGAAGCCCGGCGCTCACCTGTCTCTCGCTAAGCTGCAACATCTTGGCCAGGCGCTTCCTCTCAGGCGGGGAGAGGTATTTCTGGGTCTCAAACTTCTTCTCCAACTCGATAGTCTGGTCGTTGGAGAACCTCACCTGGCCGCCTTTCCTTTTATGCAGAGGCCTCTGCAAGAAAGGGCTCCAAAGCAGAGGTTTGCCTGGGGGCAGCAAGAGTGGTGATTAGTGACAGCCCTGGAGCAGCTTGGCGACCCCAGACCTACCTGGCCCTGGGGGTGACAAAGGGGGTAAGGGGACTCAGGAGGACACCCAACCAGACACGGACCAAACATACTGCCACCGATACAGGTACATACCCAGAGACACAGAAACAGCTAGTCACACACATACGCTGCATATAAACAGAGACCGCCTTGCACAATCACAGACGCACACACACAAACTTCACACCCGGAGCTAAATACCAACATCCAAATCTTTTGAACCCCGAAAGAATACCCATCATAGGTTGAGCTTAAAATACCATGACCCTCTTTAACCAGTCCCTCTCCAATTTATCTACAACGCTTTGCACCTGTAGGCCCTTTCCCTTGGTGAACCGCACTTTCCAAATACCGAGGGGTCTGCTGGAGAGAAGCGGCGCCGTGACATTACCCGAGGCGGTTGGAGCCGAGGCCGACCGCGGGAGCCTCACCAGGGGCCACGCGCCAGGCTGCGCGGGAAGCCCTCGGCCGCGCGTGGCGCTCCCAATCCTGAGCCCAGGGCGCCGCGGCCTCCTCTGATTTCACACCCGGCCCGCGGGGGCGGCCAGTTAAAGCCACCCCGTGGGCTATGGCAACATTTCCGTCAATGTGTTTCCTGTTGGTCTATCTCGAAAACCCTTTGCTTCCTCCTGCTCGGTCCCAGCAGTAACCCAAGGAAACCCAGGGCGCGCTCGGTGAAACGTTCGCCCCCAAACCCTGCCCGGCCGCGCGACCCCTCCCACCCCCAGCACCAAACCCTCGAGGCCGGAATAAAAAACACAATATAACAACTTTTTTAAAAAGAGCGGTAAAATATAATCCTCCACCCCCATCTCTCTAACAATGAGCCGGTGGAGAACTGAGTTAAAGGCCGTACCGCCGTAACATTAGAATGTTAATGAACTAAAATGATACTTGTCTCCGGGGTCTCTACAGAAGCTGCCAATAACAAAGAGCAGATTTAAAACCCTGGTGGCCCGAGGCGAGAAGCCCGGGTTCCTTATTTACTCAGGGGCTTCGGACGCCGGAGGCGCCAGGGGCCCCCCGGCGCGCGGACC